GCCCGGGTTTTTGCCTCAGCGACCACCCGAGCCGCATGCCGCTTCGCCCGCCGGTACCCATCAGCTGCTTCCAGAGTCCTGTAGGCCAAAAAGGCCTGATAGGACTCCTTCTTCAGCTTGACAGCATCCCTCACCGAAGKTGTCCACCAACGGGTTCGAGGTTGCCGCCGTGACAGGCACCAACAACCTTGCGGCCGCAGCTCCGATAAGCCGCCTCGGCAATGGAGGTACGGAACATGGTCCATTCAGACTCAATGTCCCCCGCCTCCCCCAGAACGTGTTCGAAGTTCTGCCGGAGATGGGAGTTGAAGCTCCGTCTCACAGGGGACTCCGCCAGACGTTCCCCTCTTTTGACTTTAACTTAAGAATATTGATTTTTGAGCCAGTTATTCACCTTTAAGGCCTATTTAGGTGCTGGTTTTCCATCAAGTTGTTAAACATTTGTGCGATTTATAAAATAAAGTAAAATACAGAGGAAGTCTCAGTATTCTGTGAGAGTTTTCTCGAGGTCGAATTTATTGACACAGGAGTTGTTTGGCTGATCTCTCATCGTTATTTTCCTGCAGATTCTCCTCCTCTGTTGCCTTTTGGCAGCGTCAGGCGTCTGCACATGCCCACATGTTTAGTGCATCAGCAGGCAGCAGGCATTCGGGTCAGAAGAATTCTCTCCATGTGCCTCGACTCRCCCATTTCAGCCAAAACTGGCGCTCGTTTCACCTCCGAGGAAACTGGGATTTGTTTGTTGCATTCGCAGAAATGACCTCTGTGTCGTCCTCTCAGGGCTGGAAGTGGCACAGTCCATCGTGTTACTGGGTGGGAGAAGATCTGCTCACCTTCGACGAGGCCAGAAAGTCCTGCGAGGCTCATGAAGCCGCCCTCGTTACCATCGCTAACCGGTACGAAGCGTCCCGCGGAGACGTGTTGTTAAACCTCCTGGCAGTGATTTAAAKTGTTTGTTTGTGTTTCACCTGTGAAGGTTTGAGCAGGCCTTCRCTAACAGCCTGGTGTTCGGTCGCTCCGGAGATGTTTTCTGGATCGGGCTTCAGAGCCGGGACAGTCACGGCTCCTTCCGCTGGCTCGGCGGAGATGAGGTGTCCTACACCAACTGGAACCGGGACCAACCAGGTRCGTTGTGCATCGGCGTGTTTTTTTCTTTCGCGCCACGTTTCAGGGTTTTCCTTGAGGTTATTTTTCTTTTTTNTCTGTGGTTTGGGAGGGTTATGTTGCAACAACTTCTCTCTGGAAACTGAAATGAAGGAATAAATTTAACATTTTGAACGACATCAACTGACTTACACACAAGTATTTACCATTTGTAGTATTTACTATGAAAAATAAAATACTATGATCAAAAGTCAAAAGCAGTTTACCAAATGGAGCTGATGTAATCCTCTGGCAATTATATTATTTCAATACATTTACAGCAGTTTTATGTCTTTTTTTTCTGTCTGGAATAGCAGCTGCTCCTAGATTAAATTGAAAAAGGTTAAAAACTTCTAGTTAACATATTTTTCTTTTTGCAGATGTTGATCAGGTATGGCTCGGCCTCCATGACACCGAGATGCAAATGAACTTCCAATGGACCGACCACACACCTGTTCTCTTCACCTACTGGCACCCATTTGAACCCAACAACTTCCGCGACACTCAGGAGGACTGTGTCTCCATGTGGGGCCCTGTGAGTGACCCCCCCCACCCCCCACCCCAAACAAAGACAGACTCCTGGGTTCTGCTCCGTCTGTATAAATGAAGCATCTGTTTCTGTTTGGGTCTTGTGTCTTTGTGCAGGACGGCCGTTGGGACGACAGCCCCTGTAACCTGACTCTGCCCTCCATTTGTAAGAAAGCAGGAATAAAGAGCGACGGGAAACCGCTGCATCAGGAGTGCAAACAGGTACGTTACTTTATCTACAGGCTTACGTTGTTTTTACTTTCTGCTGTGGGKTTTAATTATACTACCTTCATGTACKTTGTGCTGTTTTAACCGTTCACACATCTGAACGTTTGGCTCAGTTAGGAATCAGTGATGGGATTTTTACTATTTATACTGTTTTATCATTTTTGAATTATTTACCTTAATTTATAACATTTCCTGATAGAAATACATAAATATTTCTTCAGTTCTTTTAAAAAATATTGTTCTCTAAGATGTACTTTAACATGCTGGCTATATTTTTTGTCTTTTCTCTAGGTTTTAGCTACTGTTTAGCTCTATTTACCTTTGGTTTCCTTACATTGAACATGTAGTTTTTTTAGCTTGTAGCTAGTGTCTTGTTGAAGTTTGCTTTTAGCCACGACTTTGCTTTTGGCTGCACATTTGCTATCTTTTAGCTATGGTTTTGTACACATGTAGCTACAGTTTTAATTGTTTTAGCTTTTAGCTACTGTCTTGCTGAAGTTTGCTTTTAGTTATGACTGTAACATTTTAGCTTTTAGCTACAATTTAGCTATATTTACCAGTAACTTTTAGCTATGGTTTTCCAACAGTTCACATGTAGCTACAGTTTTACTTGTTTTAGCTTTTAGCTACTGTCTTGCTGAAGTTTGCTTTTAGTTATGACTGTAACATTTTAGCTTTTAGCTACAATTTAGCTATATTTACCAGTAACTTTTAGCTATGGTTTTCCAACAGTTCACATGTAGCTACAGTTTTACTTGTTTTAGCTTTTAGCTACTGTCTTGCTGAAATTTTATTTTAGCCATAACTTTAATATTTTAGCATTTAGCTAGTTTAGCTTTGTTTGCCTTTTAGCTATGGTTTTCCAACAGTTCACATGTAGCTACAGTTTTACTTGTTTTAGCTTTTAGCTACTGTCCTGCTAAAATTTTATTTTAGCCATAACTTTAATATTTTAGCATTTAGCTACAGTTTAACTATATTAACCTTTTAGCTATAGTTTTGTAACAGTACACATGTAGCT